TTGTAATCATTGTAAAACATAATTATATTTATTGTTTTTATATTAATGAAGCGATTATTATTTTATTTGTTATAAAATTTTCATTAATATTGTAGAAAACTTGGGTAATTCAAAGTTGATTTATTATAGAAGGCAATTCCATTGTTTAAAGTGTCTTTCTTAATATATTGGAAAATCTTATATATTACTACTGTTCTTAATCGTTAAATTCTTGAAGACCATTAGGTAAAAAAAAAAATGTAATCAACTAATATGCAATGGATATTGTTAGACCCGGAACACTTGATCCACGAATGGCCGATTTCGTCATGGGATCTTCGCCGTATGACCTCAAGTCACGCCCTCCCGGCTTGGAGATCTCTTGCTATATTGGGGTTAACAGTGCTTATAATGCCGATAATGTTTATAATGCTTATATTGCATATAAGTATTATAATCGTTATAATCGCGATAATGATTATCGGCACCCTAAAAATAAATAGAGAATTAGTTATAAATAACATGTAGTTTCGCTCAAGTAATAAAGTGGATTCCCCTACCTTACGAATATCGAAATAAGGGTTCTTCTACGAGTGACTGTAGAGAACCATTGTAAAGAATAAACCTAACTCGCATAGTGTAGTAAATCCCAACCCGATTGCCAGTAATTCTCGACGTAGTGAGGAATACTGCAGTGTTAGAAGAGAAATAGAGTGATAGTCTCGACGTAGTGTAGACTATCCAGGAAATGCCAGACCCGAATCGAAATCGCTCGCAAATCTACACGCCTCTTTCGACCGAAAGCCGCCCAAACGTTACACGAAGCCGACCTTCGATTAGCGACAGACTCGCCGAATTAGGACCTCTCAATATTGACTAAACCATATCTAAGTTACAGTAATTTTGCGCAATTCACATGGTCTGTACTACAAATTAAATAAATTAAATAATGCAATAATGCTGGCTGAACTTTTGTAAAGCTGGTACAATATAACGTGATATGTAAGTTACATGAAATTTGATTTACTGAAATTATGTAAAATTAGTATTGTAAAATTGTAAAATGTAATTCTCAACCCTATAATCTAAATTACCACCCTAATTAATTTCGATGGCCAATCAGATTTCATGATGTATAATGTAAAAGAAACGCGAAACAAACAAGAAAAACGCATGTAATATAAAACTTTGGTTATGAAAGTGACTTCTGCGTACTAACAAAAAATTTTCCTCGTAAAATTTTACTATATCTATAGCAAATACTTAACAATATAATAAATAAACAAACTCAGCCAAGGTGATTTTTCACGGTCGTTTGGATTATTAAGTTTTAGATTCCAAAAACTTATTAGTTCCATTGATTTTCAAGGTTTATATAAAATAATTTTGCTTTGATGGCATGTCACTTAGTCTCATTCTCTTCGCCAGAAATTACTACAAAGAAATTTATTATTATAATTTTGTACTAACTAAACAAATTAAATTTTCAACTAACCTTCTTGTTCTTTTAATAAGGACCTTGCATCAGATCCAAAAGGTACATCGTCATTTTCATGACACAGCAGATTTAAAACTAAATATAGTTGAAAGTGGTGAGGAATTAGAGGAGAAGTAAAGGAACTAGTATATTTAGCGAAACCAACAGGCTACAAATAAATTAAGGTTGATTAATTACTATTTATAATAAAAAGAAAATAATTTGCGTAAATAATTTATGTTTCTAGTAATAAATGTATGTACCTTGCTCTTGATTCTTCTCGTTGTTTTTATTTTTATCTTTATTTTTATCCATGTCATTAGATATTAAAGGCCTTAAAATTATTCCATAGATAATATAATTAACATTCCATGATTGTGAAAAAATATAATTGTACTAATTATATGAAGAATACAAAAAAAGAAGGCATATGTTTCTATAAATGGACGTCCGTTCGATGATAATCTAAAATCCCCAACCCATATGATCTTTCCGGGATTCCTGGTTTGTTGTTTTTAAATATTCGGATAAAAGTTCAATAAATAAGGATTTTATAATAAGTTTAGTCGTGTTATTAATCATCTTTCAGCTAAGATCTGATACTTTTGTAGAATTAATATATTTCCTATATTTTGATTCATCAGTAATAGTTACTGATTTAGGACACCAATTAAATAGTGAACAGATAAATGAAGGAACTTTAATTTTTGAATCGACAGGGAATTGATATTTTTTTTTCAACCAGAGCATCATTTTAAAAAATAAACTGTTGCAAATCCATATATTGAAGTCGAATAGTGGGTCGCATCATATGAAGGGAATCAGTTATGCAAAATCTATGTCGAAAAAAAATTTTTGTCATTTCTCTAAAAAAAAAAAACCATTATTCATCTGCGAGTTCTTAGCCAATCAACCTGAATACAGATATCCTAACCCTTCTCAATTCTCCTAACAAGCTTATTCAAAATCATAAAAGAGGTTTCATTTGATTGTTATACCGAAAACATCGTGCAGATTACGTCTACGTCCAAAAAAAGTATTCGTCAGTGTTTTCGCAAAAGAAAAAAT